TGCTAAAGCCAAATACCTGGGAATCATTCTCAATCAAAATCTTACTTGGCTTGATCACATTAACAGTATTCGCAGCAAGGCTATTGGTATTATAAATAGATTGCTCCCAGTCATCGGCAGATTTTCTAAATTAAGTCTCAAGACTAAGAAGCATATTTCCACTCCTTGTATTAAACCAAGTCGCTTGCATATTGGCCGGTATGCGCACCTCTCGATATTTTTTTTTTTTTTTTTTTTTTTTTTTTTTTTTTTAGTCCAAAGGGATTTGAATCCCGAAGGACTATTAGTTTCGTTTTGGCATTTTGCGTCGGACTCATAAATGTCGGTTCACTTTTCAAACTGTTGCCACAAAATGTTAGAGTCCTACATTATATTTGAAGAAATTAAATAATGAAAAATCTGCATAAGATGTATATTTCTCGTATTGTGATAAAACAACGGTACATAGAGTCATCGAATTTTGAATAACGTAATCCTCCAACGAATATGAGCATGTGGAAGACCAAATTTGAAATTTTGAAATTTGTTTTATGATCGATTTCCTATTTTTTAAAACTTTGACGAATTTTGATTAACAAACTCAAGGATTTCAAAGCGAGCAATGGCAACGTTGTGGCAGAAAAAACATTTTTATCTCCAGCGCGTGAGTCTCTGTATCGGAAATTCTAAAGATATGCTCGTTTTAAAACTATTTTGCGATATTGCTGTTGCACTGGATCTTATGGTTTAAGTGCGAGGAACATGATATTTAATGAAGAAAGGTAACACACAAAATGTTAAAAAACGCCCCTTTGGACGTAATTTAAAATCTGAAACATTCCAGATTTTTTTTTTCTTTAATATTAATATACATACTGCATTAAGGAAAGCAGTGAAATATCGGAAAACAAATGTTTGCGTAGGAGAACTGGACATATTTACTGACGGTTCGGGTTATGAGAACTTTTGGCACTGTAATATTTTAAGCGAGTCGCAAACATACTATACACATGTTAACATCTATACCAGCGGATCTCAATTTTTTGACTAACGTGTACCATCTAAACAAAAATTGAAAAACTTTAGTACCCCCACTATATTTTAAAATGATTATTTTTCATTTTCTCAATAGAAATATTTTTAAAAAATATGCATTTTGTCATTAGCTTCGCCTGTTTGTATTAAATATGTACAAGCAAAAAGTAATAGATTAAATATTGGTTAGCATTTGAATTATCAAAATTTAAGTCATAATATTTTGCTTCTAAAATTTATTGCGAAATTTTACCCTCTTTAAGACAGATCAATTTCTTTATGTCTGGTCTTGTTTCACTTAGTTTTAACTATAAATTAGGATCCACTTTTAATTTTGTTCTGTATTTATTTTTCAAATGTGACATGGAAGAAAATTCATGCTCACACAAATAAAAAAAAAAAAAAAAAAAAAAAAAAAAACAAAAAAAAAGAAAAAAAAAAATTAAATAAAAATCTGAAATGTTTCAGATTTTAAATTACGTCCAAAGGGGCGTTTTTTTAACATTTTGTGTGTTACCTTTCTTCATTAAATATCATGTTCCTCGCACTTAAACCATAAGATCCAGTGCAACAGCAATATCGCAAAATAGTTTTAAAACGAGCATATCTTTAGAATTTCCGATACAGAGACTCACGCGCTGGAGATAAAATGTTTTTTCTGCACAACGTTGCCATTGCTCGCTTTGAAATCCTTGAGTTTGTTAATCAAAAATTCGTCAAAGTTTTAAATTTAAAATAGGAAATCGATCATAAAACAAATTTCAAATTTCAAATTTGGTCTTCCACATGCTCATATTCGTTGGAGGATTACGTTATTCAAAATTCGATGACTCTATGTACCGTTGTTTTATCACAATACGAGAAATATACATACATTTATGCAGATTTTTCATTATTTAATTTCTTCAAATATAATGCAGGACTCTAACATTTTGTGGCAACAGTTTGAAAAGTGAACCGACATTTATGAGTCCGACGCAAAATGCCAAAACGAAACTAATAGTCCTTCGGGATTCAAATCCCTTTGGACTAAAAAAAAAAAAAAAAGAGAAAGAAAAAAGAAAAGAAAAGAAAAAAAGCTTTATTTGAATTGCCTTTGCGAAAATAAAAACGGATTATTTTGATATTATAATAGTCAATGGACGACTATTGACCTTGAACAATACCCAGATCGCATAAATTTACGAATGTTAGAGAAAAACCTTAAACCGGATATTGGGATATTTAAATTTTTTAATTTAACAGCTAAAAATACTTTGTTTCTTTGCGTACCACCAGTCGTGCGTGTACCACACGTTCAGAATCGCTGGTCTATATACCATTACCAGGATTAGAGCCCAGGCCTAAGACCATGGCAGCTGGTTTCTCTACAACTATGCTACTAAAAATGCATGACTGTAATGTGAAATAAGTATAATCAAGTGCATATTTAAATTATCTCACCGATTCAAAAGTAACCGAATTTTTCAAAGGTCTCTTATCACTCTATTGCTGTTGATGTTCCTTACTGCCCCTCACACCAAAAACCTTCCCCCTAGATTTGCTCAGGATCCCAGTTGGAAGCATTGACTTAAAACAATACTAATGTGGATGCTGAGATGCAAGAGATTCGTCTTTCGGAAAATTTAAAATGCTGAATAGTATTTTAATACAGCAATGTAAGTGTAACATTAAAATAAAAGTACTTCCTCTTCTTTGTAATATTTTAAGACCATTTATTTTTCTCTTGCTTTTACTTTAGAAATATGTTAGATAACATACGAGCATAGAAAAGATGTCTTAACCAACGGTTTACTTTATCGGTAACATGTCTAGTCTTATAGGAAGAAATAGTTTTCTTGTTTGTTTGGATACGGCAAAGTACACTAGGGCTATCTACCCAAGGAAAGAATGCTTTCGTGACGAACTTCTTAAAGGAAACTCTCTGAGTAGGCAATTAGCAATTATATTTCTGTGAAACAAAAAAATCTGATGTGTCCACCACATGACTTCCTTGTACGGAATATTAAATTATACGCAATTTTTCATGCATTTCATTTACACTTATTGGATTGAATTAAATCTACTTCGCCGACGGCGCATAAACCACAACAGAATAAATGCATTCTTTATAATTCACTCTATTTGTTTACCATAGCGACACTCTGGCGCTAGATTCACTTAATATTAAATTTCGTTCATATTATAATTCAGAATGCACAAAATTTATATCATTTAAAGAATTATCTAATCGTTGCCACATGTTCTATTCAAATACTATAATAAAGCTAGAACGATTTATAAAGGAAATTAAGCAAACAAAACAAAAAAGAAACAGTTTTTCACAGACGATTGAGTATTTCTCATTCAATTAATTCAGTTCTCACTTCGCGACAAGGCAAAATAAAATAAATACATAACTCAAAATATATGTATTAAAAATTACGAAGCAAATTTAAAACACTTATTTTCCTCGAAAAAAATCCAGAAAGGATTAAGCATTGATTTAATTCGCAATAAATGAAGGGGCGTTATCTTATTGTTGCGAAGCTAAGTTTCTCTAGATTGGCAACAAATCCACTAGTCTGCTTTTTCAAATGTAAACAAGCAAGAGCCGCCATCAAAAATTTTTAGGCTTAGTGGCACTTAAAACAGCTTTAAAATTGTTGATAATTCTAAAAATATTGCATACAGATTTACTAAAGGCATAAAACCTTAACCGGAGATAAGAACAATAATTCAATCATTTTTAAAGCAAAAAAATGTACAATTTACAAAACGTATAAGAGTAAAGAAACTGAGATCACTGAGCCGGGTAACAGAGGGGATATATATATAAATATATTTATATACGTTTGGTTCGGCCGATTGCAACCAAAAATACGAGGTGCACATCTACATGTTATAGCAGTCCTATATACAAAATTTCAACGTTCTGAGGCTACTCGTTTTGAGTTATGCGAGATACGTACGTACGCACGTACGTACATACGTTCGTACAGACGCCACGAAAAATTCTCTTCAGAATTAATTTTAAAGCAGTTTTATAATTTTTTTGGAGGAAAAGAGTATTTTATTCTTTTTTTATGTACAGATATCACGCAGAAATATCGTTAAATTGCATTCGATAGCGGTCAAAATGGATATTTTCGGTGAAATATGCTGAAACTTTTCGCGATTACAATACTTCCTTTTTACTTCGTACATGGAAGTAAAAAAGGTGCGTAAATTTTCGACAAAGAAGGGAAAACTATGCGACTAAGAACAAAGATTTTAAGAACAAAGATTTTCGACAAAAAAGGGTAATCTATGTAAACTAAACTCCTGCGGTGTTTAGGAACCAACCTAATTTCAAGAATAGGATTTAATTCAAGAATTCAAGATAATTCAAGAATAGGATTAAGTTAATGGCAAAACATCAAAGGCTAAAATTCGAAATATAAAATCCCAATAAATTGTAAACAAAAATGCATTTTTATCGTTCAAATATGTATTGACACATCGGGCAAAACTTTCTATATTTTTCCTTATCGGTAATCTATTTTCTTCACATGTGACCGCAAAAATAAAAAATAAGAATCGCACGAAGTTCAGTATCGTTCCATCACTGCTTTACTTTCCAGGGACAAAAAACCAAAAGACGCTCTACGAGCATAAACAGCGCTAACTTCATTTATGAATCCATAAAAGTGGGCGAAGGTTATATCACGCCCATAGCAAAAAACAAAAGAAAAAAGAAAGAGTGGACACACGCCTTTTATCCCTACTTCCGCATCTCAGCATAATCGAATGTTCTCTTATCTACCTGCAGGCATGCCATACCGTCTGAAGGAGCACGAGTAGAACAAGAAGCAAAAAAAGAATTATACATACCATTTTGCTCGGACGCGAACCCTACCATTAATGAAGAAAGCGGTCCCAAGGAGATGTCGGGGTATCAATATATTTCTATGTAGTTGGGTGGGGTGGCTTAAAAACATTCTTTGGATTATTTAACATTTCTGGGGACAGGTACTTCATGGTGCAAGTGGGAATCGTCCTTGGATAAGATGAATATATAAGCTGAGATGAATTCTGGAGAAGACATTACGGTTTTACTCAGTCTCGTGTGGCTAACTAATCGCACTTTTCAACATGATCGCTAAGGTGAGTTTTATTACCGTGACTTATACTTGCTTAATGTTTTGAATTTTATGTTATTATTCGGTACTTTTATTTGTGGTTGATTAACTAATTAAACGCAACAGAATAGAAATATACTTCGACTAATACTTCATAGCTTTATTTTCAGCAATTCTCTTGGCTAAATTAAGTACTTTTATTAATACAAATAATTATACTTAATTAATATTATAAAATTTAGAAGTATACAGATTCGCATTAAAGAGTAAAATTCTGTTCCCTAATATTCAACTGTGCATGTTTCAGAATGAATGCTATTATCTCATATTATCTGGAATGGCTGTGCATTATTTCATATTTCCATCGCAAGAAATGACTTCGATTTGTATGTTAATATTTTTTGAGCAATCTTGTATTTTATCCTGAGAAAGATAATTACAAAATTGCTGAAAATTAACTTCGCAAACAGGCTAAACTCTCGATATTGCGGTTTAAACAAAATTATTGCATTTTCTTGTTAGCAGCATAAAGTGATTGCCCGCTTCTAAAGGAAATTTTCGCTCCACTGCATAATGAAGCCGTAACGAATAATGCACATGCATTGCTAACAGTTTTCTATAAACATTTTCGCATTACTTAAATGTAAACAATACGATGGGTAGAAATTTAGAATTTATAATTCAGTGAAGTGGCTTAGAATGAGTTCTAATATGTGCATGTACAAAACCGATTGCTTTACAGCATTTACTAAGTTTATTTTAGATATAACAATACAATTAGCTTCATCTGATATGGTACGTAAAGATGAAATAAATAAATTTCAAGACTAACCCTCTAAAAAGAGGTTAATGCTGTTGCTTATTAAAAGCCGGAAATATTATGCGAACACAGTACCTGCTATTTCAATATCTGTTGAAGTCAAAAAGCCTTTCAAGTAATTTGTATATGATTCTAGATTGGATATTTTCTTGATAGCTCATATTCATGCTCGGCACCATAGCACCATATTCCTCTGCATCATTTCTTCAAAGCTGTGAGTTTTCTGAGCGATGGAATAATCTTAGTAAAATACTAAGTCCTTTTTTTCCCTTTTCTTTAGCATACATTTTAATGTATGCCATTTAAAATATTTTGGACATAAAAATCGGTTTCGGTATTACAAACAACATCTAAATAAATTATGTTTCTTAAAATTTACCTGTAAAGTATAGTCTTAATAATAACAACATAATTTTTCTTTAGATCTTACACATTTTCATGGACCATTCGCGAAGATTATTATTCAATAATCTCGTTCACCTATTCTTTAGCTTCTTAACTATGATTATTTTAAAGGAAACTGCGGTGAGATGAACTATATGCAGACGATTTGCAGTCAAATGTTTATGATTAATAATTCTTTAACTTCCCATTCCTTTTATTTCCAACAGTCGAATACCTGACTGATTATTAATAAGTTTCCTGCAGTTGATTGATTATTAATAAATTTCCTGCAGCCGAATGCCTGATTGTTAATAATTCTTTACCTTCTTAAAGGATACGGCAGTGAGATGAAGTTTAAAGACTATCTGTGGACGATTTGCAGTAGAATGCTTGATTATTAGATTAATTTAAGCTGATGTTCAGCATTTTAAATCTGTCCCTTCATTTAGCTCAATTTGATTAAATTCATTTGAGAAAGGAAATGAATGGTTTAGTTAAAATTTTGAAGTAAATATTAGTAATATCTCAATGCATATTTTATTCTCAGAGCTGTTTTTATTGAAAACCTTATTTAAAAAAATAAATAAATAAATAAACAATTTTTGTATTCAACAATATCCATGTAGCCTTTATATGTTGAATCAAGCGTCTTACTAAATATTACCTATTAACATTTTACCCTTACCAGTTCCTGAGATAAAATACAGTGGTTTATGAAAATTTGAACTACGTGATTTTGATTCAATACTTTAATCATTGCAGGTTGCTATTCTTTTCGCTGTTGTTGCAGCCACCCATGCTGTCGGTCTTTTGCATGGACATGGACATTTAGTGAGCACAGGAGCCAGTACTAGTGCTCGCAGCCAAGATGTAAGCACAATATTCATAGTTATCATATAATAATTTGATATTTTCCAAGGTTTGACAACGAAATTTAAACATTCTCAGACTGAGATACCTAAATTGTAAAAATTATTATCTAACAAAACTGCTCTTTTTCTGTCTTCACAGGCTTTCGGCAACTATGCTTTCGGATATGACATCGTCAATGGTGTTGGTGCCGCTAACTCTAGATCCGAAGTAGGTGATGCCCATGGCAACAAAAAAGGATCCTACACCATTGCTGACATTGATGGCAGGGCCAGACGCGTAGACTACGTCGCTGACGGACATGGATTCCGCGCTACCGTCAAGACCAACGAACCTGGAACTGCTGCCAGCGCTCCCGCTGCTGCCCTTGTCGCCAGCCCTTATGCTGGACCCGTCGCCCCAGTTGTCAATCATGTAGCCCCCGCTGCTGCCGTTGTAGGCCATGCTGCAGTTGCCGCTCCTCTGGCTTATGGTTTGCACGGAGCCGGACACTTGGGTTATGGCTTGCATGGAGCCGGACCCTTAGGTTATGGTTTGGCTGGACACGGTCTCCTGGGACATGGAGCTCTTGCACACGGTCTCGGACACTACGGACTCCATTAAGTCAAGAATGATGTAAGTTAGTATAAAACTATCATAATTTCATTTAAAAGTGTTATAAGTCTCAGAAACTCAGATGCTTTAAAGTTTTATTATTAAAAGTAAAGATAAGTCACAAAAGCGACTTATGACATTTAATCCTAATTTAATTTAGCAAACTAAAGTCTATCGCATTAAACTCTTCGAGTTACCATATACTCGAGTTGAATTTAAATAAAGTTACTCTTCACTCATAGAATAAAATTTTTAAAAAATAAATGTACCCTTTTGAAATAAACATGTTAGTTATGCATTTTAATTTTAAACATAATAATAATGTGATCTGTTAATTTCATCTCCCCTGATTAATTTAAGCTCAGTACATGGAACTGCACATGCACGTAACTTATAGGAAATCTTATTGAAACTACGTTTTAAAGTGATGTTACATTTTAATTTACAAACAAATATTTTTTCAACTACTCCGTATGTAAAATAAATTGTTTCAAATTAATACAATACAAAGTCCGTAATACGGACTTCCATTTTCCGGAATGATCTATAATCCGGACCTCAAAGCCACAAACTTTACGCATGTGCGCAAAGAATGCGCGTAATGTATGCTTTACGCATGAGCGCGTTGAAAGAAATGTTTAATAAAGTAAACAAATAAATATTAAGCTTTTTTTTGTAAAATTTGATACCCTTTAGATCATAATTGCTCTTTATTTCATAAATTACGGTTTCATATTTTTTAATTGTGTAATTTCTGCATGCCATCTTACCAGATTTAAATTTATGATCTATAATCCGGAATAGCCGAAGTCCCGACGAGTCCGGATTACAGACTTTGTACTGTAGTATCTAAGGATTAAAGCTTTTTTTTCTCTAATAATTAAACAACTCAATCTTCCACTTATTAATTAATGCCGTTAATAAAATCTGTGTGATGTCTTTCTTCTTTGTATGTCATCTCTATTAAGCAAATGCTTTGGTATCCAATTATAAAGCATAAATCCTCTCTTTCAGGTATTAGCTCTTCCTCCAACTGTGATCGGAAACCTCATCTCATCATTTCGTTCAAACAGAAAATGTTGCCAACTTTCCTCTATAAAAGCTTTATTTTCATTGTATGCACTTCTTCAGTGACTGCAATCTGTGAAACCTATTCTTTCAAGCACAAGGAACTGGAAGCTGTAGGTGTTCTTTAAAATTTTGGGAGCGTTTTGAAGTGTTGAATTTTGTACTCACATGTACAGTAATAGCTTTATAATTTATTTACAAGGGATTTATTTTAGCTGTAAATAAATGTTTTGATACAAAACATTCATTTTCCTGTCTTTGTTCATTGTCTGAAACACGTTTACATTCAAATGTTCAACACTGAAGTGAATGTGCTTCCTATAAAAAATACTTTTGTTTAAACAAAAAACACGGAAGTTCAGTTGTATCGCAAATATAAAGATCTCAAGTAACTCAGATTACTTCCTCTTGAAGAATTATTAATAATTTCGATTTCCTTATTAGATGAGTCTTTCGTAAAATTTCATTAGCGATTTTATTCAATTAGTATAACTTTTAAAGAAATATCACCAACTTAATTTCATCCATACATGCCTCTTTGACATTTTATTTTTTAGAAAAGACGAATCTAAAATTACTTTGAAATACCAGATTCATTTACAAAATACGGAATACTTTTCGAATGTTATATCTCCCTTATCAGAAAAAGTAATTAAATATTTTGATCGCAAAATAATTAATGAAAAGCGGAGAGACCTTTTACAAAATTCTCATAGCCATATGGATGGTCATATCATCACCTGACTGAAGTAGTAAAAGAATACGAAAGGTTTTTGCAACATGTCAATGGATCCTTTAAAGCAGATACACAAAGCAAATGTAAAACATTACTTAAAAAGAGGAAGAATATATAATCTTTCAAAGGAGACTATCTTTTCAGCGGTAACTCATTCGGTTTCCATGATGCATTAGGTATATTAGAAATTTATGGTTCCTGTGAAAATTTTTCCCTACTCATGGTTAAGCACGGATAGCAATTATCATTTCTCTTGTAGTTAAAAATATTAATAAATGTAAAACTGAAACAAAAGCAGTTTCAACACAAAGGAATTTTTGCAAACTTCAAAACAAGAACAACCATTACCATTACCGGCCATTACCGGCTGAGCGGTAAAAAATCGCTGAAAATTTTAGTTCGGTCCTGGGTTCGAATCCCGGCAAACGGGCTGGATTCTGTGTATGGGCGTTTTCGTGCTTTTCCGCATTGTAAAGTGTCTACGAGCCAAGTTTCTCTTAGAAAGTTCTCCACTGAGGTTTCCCTCCCCACAGGGGCCCACCAGCGGCCGAGCGGTAAAGTCGCTGAACACTGGTAGTTCGGTCCGAGGTTCGAATCCCGCGAACGGGCTGGCTGCATGGGCGTTTTCGTGGTTTTCCCCATGTGTAACGTGTATACGAGCCAGTTTCCCTTAGAAAGTCCTCCACGAAGGCATCCCTCCTCTTAGGCAGATAGCCCTCGAGGCTTTGCCATAATCACACACACACACACACACACCCTCCCCACAGGCAGATATTCCTCAAGAGCTTAGCTATAATTAAAATTAACCAAAATAAATCAAACAATTATCGCACGACACAGTTGAGTAGGAAATAATTGATTTTTCAATATTATATAAGATTGAATCTTACATCTATTAGTTATGTAAAATAAAATCTATTAGTTATGTAAAATAAAATCTATTAGTTATGTAAAATAAAATTTATTAGTTATGTAAAATAAAAATATGTAATCACTTATAATAATTCTGTATTTACTAAAGATTCTGTGTTTAGATTTAATTTTTTCTGTTGCTTTCATAATCTATTCTTCTCGCTAAGAGTTTTAACTGGCTTTAAATATTAACAGAATATAGCATGAATTAGTGAATGGGATTACAAATAAAGATATCCTTATTCACATTCACTTAACATCTAAAAAAAGAATTAGAAGCAACATAATACACCTCCTTTTTATTTTTCTTTGAGAAGAACGTCTTTGAAACCGGTTCATTGTTCAGGTTCAAGGTCAGGCGCCATACAACATTTTTCACAAAATAGAAACTGTTTTGAAACCTTGGCGGTCACCATTTGATTAAACCCTTAACGGTTTTCACTCCTCACTTTAGCTATGCTCACTCTTAATTATTCAATAATTTTCTTAACGAAGTTGTGGAGGTTATTGCATTTATTTGCAAAGGTACTCCGGAAGCAAAACGCCTTGGGCCTTGGGCCGTTTGATTGACAACACGCTGACATAATTGCAATGTGTGTTAATATTATTCAATGGCAGAAATGTTTCATTTCAATGGATTCTTTGCAAGCAATTTAATTTCCGATGCAGAAGTAACTCGATGCCTAATTGTATCTTCCAGAATGAGAGCTGATGGTTATTTCATTAATAAAAACACTACTTTTTTATATTCCTTCGCCATTGTCGTTGGGATTCAGATTGTGATAAAAACCTAAACCTTTGATTTTATTCAATAAAATAATAATAATAATAATAATAATAATAATAATAATATAATAAAATTGAATGTTTCAGATTTTAAATTACGTCCAAAGGGGCGTTTTTTTAACGTTTGAGTGTTACCTTTATTTATTAAATATCATGTTCTTTGCACTTAAACCATAAAATTCAGTTCAAGAGCAATATCGCAAAATAATGTTAAATTAAGCATATCTTTTAGAATTTCCGATATACACAGTCTCGCGAGCTGGAGATAAAAGTTTTTTTTTTTTTTTTTTTTTTTTTTTTTTTATATATATATATATATATATATAACGTTGCCATTTCTCGCTTTTAAAGCATTGAGTTTGTAAATCAAAAATTCGTTAAAGTTTTACAAAATATAAAATCTATAATAAAACAAATTCCAAATTTGGGATTTCAGATGCCCATATTCGCAGTAGTAGTAGGATTTCGTCATTCAAAATTCGATGGTCTATGTACCATTGTTTTATCACAATGCGAGAGAAACAGACAATCATTTATGCAGATTTTCATTATTTCATTTCTTCAAATATAATGCAGGACTCTAACATTTTGTAACAACAGTTTGAAAAGTGAACCGACGTTTATGAGTCCGACGCAAAATCGCAAAACGAAAACAATAGTCCTTCAGGGACAAAGCCCCTTTGGACTAATAATCGGACAATGAGTCAGTTAATTACCAACAAAATACCTTTTAATTAGAAAATTTTTTTAATCCGATCATTGTGAAGCATTTCTTTTGACACATTTTTCCTCGATTTACGAAAGGTCTATAGTTAGTTTCAGAAATCTCTATCTGATTCGAAATTTGACTGTTCCTCCATTATATCTTTAATTTTTGCTTCAGCCAAAATATCCTTCTCTGTGTTATTAGCTGGCTTCATAGTACTCCTTTATCTACCTTTTACAATTTTTAAATTTTGTAAAAGGCTCTTTCGCCCTCAACTTGCGTTATAGATAGAGTGAATACAAAATTATAAGCAAAAATGACACTGCAGTACGTACGCGTTACTATATAAATTATATTTCGAGCGTAATTTATATACACACATGACGCAGTTTTTGAAAAAATTGCATTTAGCTTTGGTTGAGTGCTCATTAATAGATAGAGCACTCTTTCCTTCTGACTTAGTATCAGACTCAAAATAGTGATTTTCAATTGAATTTCTTAGCATTTCCCATTTACTTACTAGGTTCCGATATTCATCCCTAAGATGATGATTTGTTAAACCTGCATAGTGCCCTAATAATATAGATAATAGTCAAAAGAGTTCGGCGACAATGGCTTCAAAAAACTTTGGGGATCGAGAAGCGATATGTCTTCAACTTCCTGTGCCCTTCAAAATTACTTTCCATTGATGAAATGGTGTTATCCATTATCAGATTAAAGACAGAAACTTCGCATTGTTTGAAAGGGCAATTCAAATCATAGTTAGACGATTATTCGTCCATTTACTTCACTTTTCGTCATCTTCTAGCAAGTATTTCTTCTTCTATAATTATATTTCAACCCAGCCTTTCCAGTTTATTATTACAACCCGTTGCAAACGATATTTTGATGCGTTAAATATTAAATCAAAATCTTTAGAAATGACTTTTAAAGAGCTTGTAACCTCCCAAACCATATTATATGCTAGGATGTAATCTAACCCTTTAGTCGACAAATATTTCGTTACTGAGTATATTGAAATATTTTCAAATGACAAAATTATTCAAAAAAAAGTTGTTATTCTGCACACGATCGATTTTGCCATTTGCCGTATCTGTGCATTTTGTATACAGTTGGAAGCAATACTTTTGAGTGCAAATATTAATTCTACGTATAAACAATTATGTTTGCAATCGAACGTGTCAAAAATTTGTTTTAGGGCGTCTCTTTTCGTGAAGTTTTCTGTGTACCTTCATTTATTTTTTCGTTTATCCGTTCTACGCACCTGAAAAGCAATAAAATTCAACTGCAATATTTTTTGTCATCAATTTACGTTATTCAGTTACACAATAAAATTCTCTAGAGAGTCTTTTTTAATTACAGTTTTAATGCAATATTTTCAGTTTCACAATTAAATTAGAACGTGACTGTTCTGTATTTTTATAAATCTACTTTACTACTCTGGATGCTGTCGACCATAGGCTACAGCCTACATTGTCTGCAATAAAAGATTGTCGTTTTAAAAGAAGACTCACGGTATTTAAAGCGTTCAAATTTCACACAGGTAAAATAGTTGAATAATTAAATTTTATATTCAAATAATAAATTCCAATAAACCGTTTAAATGAAGAATGCTAACTGAAAAACTGTAAATCCCCCAGCAATATAAAAAGCCTACAATTGCTTTCTGTAGCTTAGCAATCATTAACTCTTATCTCGCAGGTAAAACACTGCCTGAAATCCATCTTTATTTATATTCAAATTATTGTTTTAAATTAAAAATGTTATTACTTATATTGAGAAAAAATTGTGAATTCTATCTATCATACGCTAAGTTTTAAACAGTGTTTTCAGTATTATTCTTATTCTGTTATGAATATATTGGGGGCTTCTATTATTAATAATTAAAAATATTAGGAAATAATTAGAAGATTAAGAATAATAGGAAAATATTATTAATAAATTAAATAATTATTAATATTAAATAATAATATAAAAATATTAAATGCATTAATATTTTTAATATTAACATTAAATACATTTAATAATATTAAAATATTTATTAAATGGTTAAGTTTTAAGGGGCTCGTACACCTTAAAACCCCGTAAGATGTTTGAATAGAT